TGCTGGGCTGTTTGGTCAGACAGAGGACGTGCGTTAGGAGAAGCTGTACTTTCACAACTCTTCCCGTATAAGCAAAACTATGGTGACAAACTACTGTATCACGTCATGTGCTAAGTTGAGGAAGACGCTTCAAGTCCACATTTTGTAAAAGCACTCACTCTCTGACAGAGAGGGAGCGAAAGAGCATTTGTCAATTGACTGTAACAGGCAGTTGATAAAATCCAGACCATAGCAACGTGGCCATGCCAAGAGCCAACAGAGAAGAACAGACAATGAGATACTGCTGGTGTGCACTTGTGCAACACACAAACTGAGCTTGTCTTAATGTGGCAGATGCAGCACAGTGTGCTCCCCTTCCTTGTCTGATCTGGAAACATTCCCAACAACACAGTCAAACTCAGCCAATGAGTAAAATAAGCAGCAGAATGGATAACGGCTGGTTGATTCACTGCAGCTACTTAAATGAGTTGATTTAGGCCAGAGGATGCCGCACGGTGGCTGTAAACTGGCGCGTAGTTGTTTACTCCCTGTGGGATCTTGCTGTGAATCAAAGGAAATGTGAGCTGTCTCGGAGGAGGTGGCAGAGTGCAGAGCAGGATCAAGTTACACGAAGCTGATAAAGAAGGAGTGAATGAGTAAAAAAGGGGTGTACCCCATGTAGCAATAAAGTGCGTGGCAATAAAGTACTCAGAAACAAAGTTCACAAAACTGGCCCATCATGTATCAGATATTGTGGCAGGAACACAAGTATGTCCAAAGTCTTCCATATCAGGAGAATAATGGATCATAAAAGATGTGGCAATCAAATGGCTAGATTCAATTTTACTTAAAAAAATTTTAATCCAGAATGTGAACATTTCATTCCCAGCTACTTGGTTTTTTTGGTTGTAGCCAGTGTCTTTAGGGCTGTGACTTTGTCTTTGGACCTATGGTAAGGAGGAAGTGCCCCCCTGCATGTTGTTTAGTCGATGGTAGGAAGGAAGAGGATGAACTAAGTCTCTGATACAGCACAGAGAGCTTCTGTGTTACTTTGTTTGGGGTAGAGAGGGAAAGAGTAGCCGCATTGTCCCATTGACTACTGTCACAGTGAAAAGGAAAGCGGGTCTCAAGTGTCCCCACTGGATGCCACCAAAAAGGCTGAAGCACATCAAGACGGCTCTGTGTGTTCACGGGCCAAGTTTGGTGGCCAACACTGCATCCAAAGCCCTGTTTAAAGGCCTGACCAGAATTTTTTTTATTTTTTTTTATTTTGAACTGCCACTGCCACGCATCGGTGTGCGGCTGAGTGCTGAGGCGATGTGACAGATGATTAATTTTTCAGGGAGATTAGAGGCATGAGGGAGCGGGAGGAGGGTGCTTTGGAGAGCAGGGCAAACGTCTAAAGGGACCCTGAAGAATAGAGCGAATTCAGCTGACAAGTTCACTGTTTGCTCTTCTGCATGCAAACCACAACCAAAACAGAAAAAAAACAAAATCATTACATCAAAATATCTGAAGAGTTAAAAGCCAGAATTATTAAAAATTGAGTGACTTACTCTGACAACAGTCATGTCATTTGTTTTATACACTGCTAATGTGTAAAATGAGAACCTCTAAAATGTCAACTTTTAAGGAACAAAAAAAGAAATGTAGAAGGAAGAATAACTGCCTCAATTGTCTAAAACGCCCATGCATTTTTCAGCTTATCCAGTGTTTTGTAAAGTATTCACAGGCCCCAGGGTTGCACAACTTTCTCAACCCATGAGAGCATGACATCTGTCAAACGCAGTGAAACAAAGAAAAGAAACGAAAACTTGAGTCCAGAGATTTTTCACTCAGCAGTGACGATATACAAAATCAACTTTCTTGTGAGATGTTGATGTTCTTCAAGCTGCGTATCTAACAAGTCAAGCTTCCCGGGTGATTTGCTTTCAGTTTCAACCACACCCTTGCTGTCCTCGCTTTCCTCAATTTCTCACAGAAGTGTAATTAAGGGACAGGGAGGAGGAGGAGGAGGAGGAGAAGAAGAAAAACAGATACTGCAGGACTCATCAGAGTCACTATGCTGAGAAGTACAGCTCAGCCAAATCATCCAACTGTGAAAACATTGTCTTTTGAGTCAGTGCTGGAATCTAGTTCACTCCATCCCTGCTTGGATACATCATCTGTAATGAAAAAATTATCATTTGTAATGTATTCATGAAGAAAACAGTCGGATTCAGCTATTTCCAGCAGACTGATACGATAAGAGCTGACCCGAAATGACCAACCTGGCAGACTTTCATACACTTTTTAAAGTGCGAGCGATGGGAAAAAGCAACCATTAGGCCTATGACATTTTAAGTAAGGGATATTTTCTTGCCCTCGTTTGATCTGACCAAGAGAACTGTTGAAAGTAAATAATTAATTACAGTGACTGTCATGGGTAGGGTTCAGCTGGGCAATGCCAGCTTCACTTGCTCAGCATTATACCTCTGCGCTCTGCCGGAAGCTTCTGACTTTATGTTTTGTCGGTGACAGCAAAAATCTTTTGCATGAATGGACGTTTTCCGACAATATTGCCACTTATTTAATTACCATATTAATCTTAAACAAAGAGATTCAAAATTCTTCAGATGGCTTGAATTAATCTCTTTACTGGATATCTCATGTTTAGCTGCGCTTGCCTGCTTTACTCTTATAGATTAAAGCTTAAGACAATTTTAAAAGTAAATTAACAACAGATATTTTGCTTATCATAGATAATAAGAATGAATCGCACACTGTGTCTGGGAGACTGCATGGCAGAGCATCGTCTGATGAAGATTTCCCTTTAAGCCTCTGGAAATTAACCCCATGGAGATTTTGATGCGGTCACACCACGTTCCTATTGACTTCAACCACAAAGGCTGCTACCGTCGCTGACAGGAAACTTTATCTCTGTGCAGCCCCTTCTCCATGGGAACAGTAAAACACAGAAGAAGGGTGATATGCAAACACAGAGCAGGTCACACAACGTGTGCACTGAGTGGCTGTAACTGAGCCCCTGGAAAGTATTCAGTCAGGCACCACTGGAGAGAGACAGAGGCGAGGTAAGACAGTGAATCCACGGGAAAAGAAATACTTCCAGCTACACAAAGAGGTTAGAATATATGCCATACAGTAATCCCCTTTGGAAAGTGTAGACCTATTTATAAACTGAAGGATCTCCTGGCCTCTTGCTCTGCTAATGTAGGACAGTATCAGGGAATTAAGCAGGAGGGGGGAGATTATCACCGTGTCACCACAGCTGTAGCTGCGAAATCTACAGTAAGTCACCCTCCTCCCCCCTTCGCTGTCCCACCACCCATTCACCCTCTTCCCTGAGGCCAAGCGGGAACAGCTTTCCAACCAGGGTGCTGTCTGCTACTGCACTACTTGATGACATGGGGCAAGCTCAGTGAGGCCTGTCTGGCAGAAAGTATTGGCACCCTGTCGTATTCAACCTGACACATATTCACCAAGCTCAGCTGGATGCATTGGTCTAGAAACAAGTTTGATGCCACAGACTTGTTTGGCGCTGTTCTTGGTGCTTTGTTATGGGGTAACTTGCTGATGATCCAAACTAGAGAACAATAGGTAATGTGATTTAGTGTTTAATGAAGAAGAGGTTCAGTGTTGAAGAAAAGCTGTTTAACTTCTAATTCTCATGTGACCCATGTCAAATTTGACTCTAACCGATATTAAAGTTGGCAGTGGAGGACACCGCAAATGACTTAATCGCATAAGAAAAAAGCGGATAGAAAAGTTGTTTCAATTGGATGCCAATTTCAGTGGATTTTACTTATGAAATCAAATGAAATAATTTGCTCACTAAGCAGGATTGGCTGTTCTGTCAAGTCCAGAGCATCTGCAAAGGTAATGACATCATGGAAGATTTGGCAACACCTGGAGACATCACTAACCCACGAAGAGCAAAGGGGGAGTGAATGGGAGCTATAGTAACCCCAACAAAATTTAGTGCTATGACTCATTATTTACTGTCATACATTACAGATGTGCATGTAAACAGATCTTACTCTCCCATGTACAATTAGCTCATTGTATTATTTACTGTGGTCTGAGGTCAAATATTGAAACAGAGGACTGCAACAACAAACAATTATTTTCATTATCAGTTACTGTGCTAATTATGTGCTTGAGTAATTGGTCCGTAAGAAAATAAAGTGTGTGGGTGGCATCTTCAAATGTATTCAGCTTATTGTCATGGATGACTAAGAAAAAAAATGTATGCTTACATTTAGTTTAGAGTTAGTTGGCACTTTTACTTCAGAAATGAAAATTCATCGATTTACCAAATAGTTGCCAATTAATTTCCCGTCAATCCACTGACTTTAGTGTATATTTATGAGTTAGCTGGAACAATAGCGTTAAACGCTTTGTTGATGTCTTGCCAGCATGTTTAATGCCTATAAAACGTTTCTGTGACATTATCACTCTGATACGAACTCTGTAAGCTCTAAAGATAATGGCCATATTGGCAAAATTAGCTCTTTCACCTGCCTCTCTCGCACGCGGACACACAAATATGCACGCGCACACAAACTTGGACACCACTAACGACGCTGTGACGCTCTATTGACAAGTGACGTCAAGGTGAATGATCGATACTGGTGCCAAACGTCGTTATGATTTAGCAGAAAGAGCTCATGACAAATTAGAGACCAAAATAAACCAGTTTCATGTAAGAAAGCAAACTTCTGAGGCCCGGAGAGCTCGCGTATTTCACTCGGAAGCAGCAGCCAGCGGTGGCCAGTTTCAGGCATGCGGAAATGAACTTCAAACACACGGCTGGATTTGCAACCAGGTAACTAAAAGATGAAAAATGGGACCAAACGATGTGCCACCTTAACATATGCACCTTTATAGAAAGCAGGATATAAACGATACTACATACAAAAGGAATGAAAAAAACAACAACAAAACAAGTCAGTGACAAAGACACAATGAGCAGGTTGAAAAACTGTCGGAGAAAGTAAAAATATACATTCACTGAATCTTACCTGTCGAAACACACGGACGCGTTTGAGTTTATCCCACGTCAGTGTTGTTTTATTGGGGACGGGACAGTCCTCTGTGTCTCTGTTCACGTCTCTACACTCTCTCCGCTGCTGGCCCACAGTCCTCTGAACAAAAATGAGTAAAAGAAGCGTCACCTCAGCCCCAGACTCCGCCTTCCTCATCCCGACCCCACCCTGCCACAGCTCTGCACCCACTGGGAGAGGCGTTAAAGATTGTTTTATTGTCAGGAACTGTAGTCAGTAAAAAAAACCTCTGCATATTCAGATTATGTAAACTGCCTCAAGAGAGATCGGTTTTCCTAATGTTACAACGAATTATAAAAGAATAATCAGAAAAGACCATGATATTTTTACTCTTATGGATACTTATAAATACAGTGTTTAAACCATTATCTCTCATGTCGAAAATGTTTTACATTTCATACATTCGCAAAATGATTGTATATAGCCTACATATATAGACAGCCCATACAGCTAACACCATACATATTATGCTCAACACACCAGTCTAGCCCAGCAACATAAGAGCAAAGTATGAAACTTTGCAAATACTGACAAGAATAGGCTACAGTAGGAAACAACGTTCACTTTAAAGAGGGCTACTATAACTTTGGGAGCCTTGAGAATTCTCATATTACAATAATGTAATGTGTTTTTATTCGTTTGGTTTAAAGGAAAGTGCTACGACGCTTTGTTCTCACAAACATTTCGTGCACCTGTATGACGACCGACCACACCTTGATTACAACTAACACGAAACCAGACGACTCGGTGAGTCACTGCAGCCAGGAAACAACGCGCTGTCAGGAGGGGGCGATCACATGACTTACAGAGGAACAGATTGAACCGATGGCGTGCGTCTGTGTCATGTGTTTGATACAGTGGACCGATCATAGGTGTTTGGTACACTGGTTCGATCTCTTCCTTGTCTGGGAGAGAGAGCAAGCGCAATTTTACCATATTTAAATTAGATAGATAGATTTGTATTGCATTGTTTCTACTCTTCTTGGCATTTTGAGCCTTTGTGTTATGTTAAAAATATCTCCTGATTCACAGTTTGTTCTGAAGAAATGGATTGTGAAATCAGCAAAATTCACCAAAATATTGGTCCTAGTGGCAAGAGATGAAATTAACTATTACTAACAGCTTCAGTCAATCTGCAAACCGCTTTCTCAATCGATCATTTGGCCTATAAAAGACCAGAAAATACTAAAAATAGGTAAAAGCCCAAGTTTATTCAAAATGCATGTTTGCTCAGAACAACAGTCCAAAAGCCAAAGATATTCAGTTAGCTATAGAAGATGAAAAACAGCAAATATTCACGTTTGCAAAGAAAAAGGGACTAATCTATTATAAAAGTTGTTACTGATTCAATTTCTGTCAATAGACTAATCAAATAATCCTTTAAACTTCATGGGCAACTTTAATGGCAAACTTTCCATTTAACTTAGTTTTAAAGCATTTGGCGACAGTCCTACATGTCAGAATTTAAAGAAATGCAGATACAGAAATGTATTCATAAATACATGTATAGCCTATACAGAGCTGTAAGGAATTCAAAACATGAAGTTTCTAATGAATGCACATGGAAAGTTCAGAGAGGTCCCATAATTGAGGCTAAACTGACTTTTTTAGAATGACTCTTGCTAAAGAGCGGAGCGACTGGCTAAGTGCACCGCTGAGACCATGTCTGTGCTCCTCCCTGCACAGAGGAAAGAAAAACTTGTTTGAAAAATACTTAAGGCTGCCAAAGGTGTGTGTCTGTTTGTTGCTTACCCATTTTAGGATAGTAAAGTTGAAAAAAAATAGACGTGGTGCACTTCAGTCTGAAACAGCAATAAAGTGTGCACAGAAACTTGTCTGGCTGCCTGCGAGGATCAGAATGGATGACAGGCTCAGATAGGTCAGGCTGTATTCTATGTCCTGCCTTGGGGCGAACTGTCACAAGTCCCTCTTATGTGGCCATTGTGACAGTCATCATCTGTGCCTCCTAGACTAAAAGAGACAGGGATGGAGGGGGACAAGGCATGCTGGGCTGCTGCTGGTTATATAGGCCATTATGTTTGTCAGAGTAAGTGAATATCACTTCAGGCCCAATTGACCTTCTTGGGTTTTCATGTGTGGCTTGAGGGGCTTCATGTTTATTAGATTAATGGGACAGTGCTTTCATATCCCCAAACCTGAGCATCTGAATCTACTTTTTTTTTTGTCAAAACTGTAACCCGGTCTTGTATTTTTGCGTGTCTTTGACTTGTGTTGGCTTTCTCAGATATTACTGGATAGTGGACACAGGGGCTGCAGTTACATGAATGGTACTATTGTTTTGAACACAGCAGTCTCTTTATTTTGAAAATTAGCCAAGAATTAAAAGAGTGGGATTCGTGTGGGACTGCAGCTCACGCTGGCCCAGTCAAAACCACCTGTCTTTTTGGTTTCAGCACTGATTTAATATCACATTTTGATAATGTAGACGCGTTGCTGTCCATTTTTTGTTACAGAGATGTTTTTGTGTTGAAGCTGTTCAGTCTCACTGAGGCTGCTTGCTCACATAATTGAACTCACATGCAGAAGGTTCTCCATATGTTCTTTTTCTCTGTCTCTGTGAAATAACACTGCACAAATATGTTTACAAAGTCAGATAAATGTCCAGAGAAATTCACTGGATATCCTGTAGGCGGGAGTCAAAAAGATGTCTGCACTGGTGTCTGGCAGACATGGCTCCAGTCTTGCCCTGTAACCTCCCAGTCCAACAGACCATGAATCTCCCTGTATGGCCAAGTCTGTCTTTCATTCCAAGGGCAGGACACACTGATATGATGTCCCTGCTGTACAATACTCGCCTGTTTCGCTCTCTCTGGTCCTCTGCCTCACGCCCCACAGGAAATGGCCCCATTGTCCTTGGGAGAGGAAGTGGCCTGGAGCAGACCACTAGCTCAGTGGACTGATGGAGGCTGTGGTAAATTATTAATCATCACCTACAAATGGAAGAGACTGTAGTGTTGGCTGCCCACTGAGGAATATTTTGAAACGATTGAGCTGCAGCCGACCACCTGTACCAGGAGAGAGATAGTCTGTCCTTTGATTATTAAAACCTGTTGTTCTGGCTGTGTGTTGTTTACTGTGGACGTGAATAAAATAAAACCAAAGTGCTTGTTTTTCATTTGTCCAGATTTCATCCTAGAATCACAGGATTTACCAAACCTAAAAAAGCTGAGCTCGACAGTTCGTTTTTTACTTTGGAAACAGTAGTTGGCAAAAAAAAAAAATCTCCACTCAAAGTTCATGTACCTGCTTGTCATAGAGCCTTTGACCAGAACAAGAAAAATAGTTTTGCCAGCTCTTTTGTACAGAGAGGCATTTAATCCAATAATATATAAAGCTTTGGTTAGACAAAACTGCCAGGTTGATAGTAAATGAATACTTTCGTGTCTAAAATTAGAGTTCTTCATTTTCATACATTCATTTTATAAAGATATCCACAAAAGGCCTTTTGAACCAGATGATCTTTCTTTGTTTCAGTTCATTCAGATTTTTACCACTAGAGGTAGACAGAGACTCACACAATGAAGCTATGCTCAGCAAGACAAGAAGCATCTGTTTCGGCCAGATCAGATGTGTACGTGTGTGTGTGTGTGTGTGTGTGTGTGTGCGTGTGTGTGTGTGTGTGCGTGTGTGTGTGTGTGTGCGTGTGTGTGTGTGTGTGCGTGTGTGTGTGTGTGTGCGTGTGTGTGTGTGTGAGTTTGAGGGTGCATACTATGTCTGTTCACATTCTCAGGCGGGTTTGGTGCATGGCTCTCTGGGTTAAAATAGCTCAGCATTTGCTCCAGTCACACATGGGCGTCCTTGCTGGTTTGGTAGGATCCAGATAAAGTAAGAGAGGCAGCTAAAAATAACTGCAGATGTTCTTGTAATGGCACACCTAACAATCAGACAGATGTCAGGCTTGTAGAGGTCTCTGCTCCAAAGGGAGTCTGGTTAAGATATGCAAGTAAACCATCAACTTCTGTGAGATCTATTGCATCTGTTAAATTATAGCTTATCAGTTTTTATTTGTTATCAGATTTTAAATCAGATCATAGTCTTTAAATTTTAGGGATGAAAGTTTGTCACCTCTGTGGAGGCTCAATCTGTATGATTAGATAGGTTAATCATAAATATCCACAAGGTGTGATGTGAGTTCTCTGGCTTAAAATACTTTTCATGTGACCAGTTGCTGGTATAGACTTGCTCAGTTTCCACATGAGGGTCTGTTGCCCTCCCATATATGTTACATGCAGAAGAATGATAAGGCAAGTTATAGAGTCAGGATATCCCTTCAGGTTTGAGAAACCTGACAACCAAAACTTTTATGTGGACTTCTGAGTGTACAACAGACAATGTCAGAGCCTCAGGTTTCCTCTTTATTAACAAAAACAACAAAAGATGAATCATGAATGGTTTACTTTTTATAATCTCCACTGTTGTGTGATGGAATTTTAAAAAAAGCATTTCTTTACAGAACTACATATCCCATGATGCCTCGCTCTCAAGATGACCAAATGGATCTCAGAGCGGACCAGCCGTTGTGACAGCTGAGTTTCAAGTTTGCTGAGGGAGACTCCAGCGCCGACTACGACCTTGAACAGACACGGAAGAACCGAACATGTAAGTTTAACCCTTTCCTCTTTCTTTACCCATCAGGGTCATTTCATACACAGTTCTATTGTAGACCTGTCGCTGTGGTGTTTGTTTCTTAAACTGTCCAAACTTGGTGCAGGGAAATTTCCACAAGGCTGCAGGGTGGGTTTCCTCCTCCGTGGGTGGACGTGTTTATGATACGACTGTAGTTGTCCAGTTTTTTTAACATCCTCCAAAACACCAACCTTTTGACTAGCACCTTAAATTTAACAAAAACTTCGGCGACACTTTGGTCAGAAGTGAATGAAGCAGTTGCTAAGAGTTAAAAATGTCTTGTTTTACATATGTTTATAGCTAGCAAGTTACGCTCGGCTTCACCTCCGGTGGTTTCGCTAATTAAGTTGTCCATCAAACTGATAACTGTCGCCTTAATGTGAACATTGGGATTATTGAGTAACTATCAGGTCTTGACAATATG